TGCCATTCATTTAAGTGCAATCTATTGTATATGAAAACAATATAAAGTTTTCTATAATTTTATAATTAACGAAAATATATGGTAAACAATTCAACAACTTCAATATAAAATTGAAAATAGGAAAATGTTTTATTAAAGGGACATCTCTATCAACAGAGAAACCACTCCCCATCGGTCACTAACATGTAAAAGTCTGTTAACGACCGGTTTTCTGGTCCGTTTTTTTTCTGCTAAAGACCGATAGAAATTATTACTGAAGAATAAAGAATGTCATGTGGCCCCTTGTTATCCAATAAGAGAAGCTAATTCTTAACCGATATGAAATAATTATTTTTACCATGACCTGATGATCCTCAATAGAGGATATCGCTTTGAACTTTCTTACCTTGACGTCAAAAAAGTATTGTATCAATATGCTTAACAGATTATACTTAATTAATTTACTGACATAGTTTAGATCTAAATCGTTAATAAAACCTGTAAGAAGCTTATCTTTCATTCAGGATTCACTATTTTTTAAGCGCATGTAGGAGTCTGATGACAAAAACTAGGTATATTATCCAAATATATCAGACTCGGCAATTTATGAAAATTAAATTATATTTCATCGGTCAATAGCTTAGAATAAACATGTAAATTATTGAAAGTTTAAAACAGTTCAAAAGAGTACAAATACTGAAAAGTCTTAAATGATTACAATAAATATTATGTATTTGAGCTAAACGTAAAGTACAACATGTACCAAGTAAAACTTCCTTTTGATCAATGAACCATGAAAATGAGGTCAGCGTAAAGATGACCAGGGTCAGACAGACTTCCAATGATTTCATAAATCACAAATAGCTGATATTCTTTTCAAGACATATTTGAGAAACAGATTTCAGTAGGGAAACTTACCGTTGATTAATGGATCATGAAAATCAGATCAAGGACAGGCGAGACAGACATGTGCACCTTACAATATAATTCATACTGGTAGGTTGAAAATATTTGACCTATTTCTTAAAGAATATAAAAAACTGATCTAAGAATACACATTAAATTGATAATTGAACCATGAATTGAGTTCAAGGTCACGTGATTCATGGCAGATCGTGCATAGTGTACAATTATTCTTTAGAACATACTCACCCCTTCTCGTCCAATGAAAAGTCAGTTTTTTCCCTTCTAATTTTCATAGTACATGGCTTTCCATGCACTATGAAATGCTATACATGAATGACTTTTCATTGTAGATTAATTATGAATTTCAAGTGAACTCTTAATAACTTCACTAACGAAGTGTACAATCCCCTGAGGCATTTTTCTTGAGAAAATAGCCTAATGATTAAATATGAAAGAGAAAAGAATTATAAAAAACATTTAGAACATTGCAAATCTTTATATTAATGGTACATATATATAACAAACAAAGAATAAAATAAAATGGGGGCAATGATGTAGGTAAAATCATCTTTTATACAATTTTTATACCAGACATTCGAGTCGATTATTTTTTTTCAAGAAATCAATGTCAGACTGCTCATATATAAAGCAAAGGATTTTTTGAGAGAAAAAACCCACAGTACATGTACATTCATCAATAAAAAGTAAGCATCTGATGTTGAATGGTCGTAATTCAAATATTTATAGAGTAAGTTTTATAATCATAAAAAAATATTCAAATTTCAGAAAGCGGATTGATATAACATTGTGTGCTAATTAAAATCAAGAAATTTAAGGTATACTTAAAGTATTAAATTTTTACCTGATGCAGAAGAAAAACTCAAATGTTTGAACAATTTATCCTTTTTGTCCTCACAAACTATGTCAGTGCTATTTCATTCCATCCATTGCAATGGTCATTACCTATGTTATATACTCACTTCATTATAAAAAGTGAATTCTTATTTAGTGTTGAATATTACAATGGGAAAGGATAATTTTGTAAAGTCACGAAAGCCGTGAATATGTTCTAAATTGGTCAGACAATACTTGGTCATACGCCGAGGGCTTTAAATCTTCATAAAACATGACCAAGTATTGTCTAACCTATAAATAGACCAATATAATCATAACTCATGATTTAGAATATAGCAAAGTGCTCTCGACCAATGAAATTGTAGGATTCGATGCCTCTTAATTGTGAAGAATGAATGTAAATCATGTTCTTAGTAAGGGATTATCCTATTATTTGGGTCTTTTTACAGTTCAAAACAAAGAGTTTCTATAAATGAGTTACAACTGCCCTGAAGCACATTTATCAGATTGGTAGGAGTGATCACACAGTGATTGAAACTAACTAAAAGTTGAATTGAGAAACAAACAAAAATCTAAAATAAGTTGAAGTTTACTGGTGCAGTGAAATGTTATTATGAAAATATTAATAACTTCAAATTACTAAAATATTAAACAATACCAAAGCAAAGCAAAAAAGAGAACAACAATCTTTTAGATAAAAAAATAACCTAAATCTTTAGCTTTCCAAAACTTTGATTACTTGATCAGTGGTTGGGAATAATATTTATTTCCAATATTCCGATAAAAAAACAGGAATTTAATTTTGAACATATTAAAAACTTTTAAAGGTATTATTTTTGTAAATTTCTAAAATTTGTAAAATATTATTTGATGTAAAAAGCCGGACCAAAATATTGGCTGTAAAATAAAATTTAGTTGTACCTCAAATGTATTAATTGATTTAAACTGTAAATAAAAAAAGGATAATTCCTCACTAAAATATTACATGATTTATATTCATACTTACAATCAGGAAACATATACAATTTCTACTTTTTCTTTCTACTGTTGTGTCACCTAATATCTATAACGCTTTTTTTTTTTAAATATTTCCCAAATGATATGAAAGTCCTTACATCACTAAAACTAATCCATAAATGACATGCCGAAAAAGAAAGTCATGCATCAATTATAAACATTGCACTGACAATGAAACTAATTCTTGAATAGATAATTTGAGCCTTGAGCACTTTACAATATTCTAAGTTTGTAAGAGAATGATAATCCCTTACTTCATGATAAGTACTCGCTAACGCTCGTACTTAATCATGAAGAAAGGGATTATCATTCTCTTACATATACAAAGTAAAGACTAAATCATGAGCAAAAGCTTATCGTTGATCACTGATTAATGAACAAAAGTTCGAGGTCACCCGACATGCCAGATAGACGTGTACACTTTATAGCGATTTTATAGACAAAATATAGTTGACAAATTACTTATAGAAAATGATATTAAACTGACTTTATCACAAAACTTAACACAAAGTTTGGTAAGTCATTAAGGTCAAACTACAGGATGAGTGACAGATTTGTATATAAGATTTTGCTTACAATTGTGGTATGTTGAAACTCGTTAAAGATGCCAGGCTTATAAGAATACATTGTTACGTCAGACGCACGATTCTTCTTCACAAGACTCAATAGTAGTGCTTGAATAAAAAAAGTTGGAAGGCCAAATACATGATAAAAATAGAAAAATAATACATTCATCTCTTTTACTTTTTGAAAGATTATTGAATGAAATCTTTCAAAATGATGAACATTAGTATAGAAAGAACGTTTCTCTAATTTTTGTGCTATTTTCACAATTCTTGATCGGTGTGAGAACAATATTTCTCCTCACTTGTAAAATATCTGTTCTCGGCAAATGATTGTTCGAAATTTAATTATGACGTCAGATTTTCTTGGTTTCTTCTGAATATTATATTTTTATCAGGCCATATATTTATAAAATCAAGGGGTATTAGAAATTGCATGTATTTCTAAATATCCTATTTTCTGGAACTCAAAGAGTCTTACAATGCCCTCGGGAAATATGAATTTTCTCATCATATTTTCCTATGGCAATGCAAATAAATGTATACTATTCTCTTATGGTTGTGGCCGGTTATCCTTTTCTTGCATGACGAGATAATCCTCGTATCACACTCCGTGCCGTGTGATACGAGAAAGTGATACAAAAAATGTTTTAATTTGATTGGCTTATCCAGCATCGTGAGACGGTATTAAGACATTTCCGTTGGCTAATTGTTAGGTCATTAATAACTTTCAAAAGTTAAGACGATGTACCTTTCGTCCATGGCAACGGACATATGTGATTTTTTCAATAATATACAAACACTCACACTTTTCACCTGGAAATCTTCTTTTTGTCAAATATTATTAATATGACCCGACAATTGTTCGTTCAAAGTTCACATTTAGGATTTTGTATATTTTTATAATTCATGCTTTTTATTATCATTCCGAGTCGTCATTGGTTTTTAATAATTCAATAGTTCATTGTATAGTACACTATTCAAAAGTTAATTGTATTTTACACTTAACTATAATCCTTTCATTTAAATTAATTATCAAAGATTTATATCCGTCTTTATGATAAAAGATTGTGTAACAAAGAATATAGATAAATTGACACTAAGTGATAACTGTCGAAAGCCATTCTTCACAAACTTATACGAAACATGTTTTTAATCCGTAATCCCCGCTTTCGGCAAAACGCGATTTATAATATTTGATAAAAAGATATTTTGATTGGTTCATTTTACGCATGTCAATCAGTCTTTTGAAATTGTATTTTATATATGTTTTTATGTTGTTATTCATTTTATGTTTTAATGTTTGAATTATATGGATGCTAAATAAATATGTAAACTTTCCAGCGACTTGGACTTTATCTGAGCTACCGCTAGTTTCCCCCGAAACTAATTAATATGACAGAGGTGACCAACAACCTGGTCATATTACTCTCGTTATTTAATCTAAATAGTAATTATAATGGGAGAGTTTCAAAAAGTCAAATATTTAGTTAGCTAACCATATTTGCATACAGTGGAATAATTATAAGATTAGTTAACGCCGTCGTTCAAAATGATCAAAAACATTATGATATAAAGGTCTTAAGTTGAAATGATAAAAAAAAAACGAAATGCAAGGATGGTTCTAATCGCAAATTTGTGTAACGTGTTATTTCTTTTCTATTGCAGGGAGATGAACAACCACAAATAACTCTCATGCCGTGGACAAAAGGATGTTGACATTGCTTGACATCACAATTGTATTCTTGAAATTTATCTTCATTTTAAGTATAGCTTCCCCTATGCATATACACGAAATTAACAACAAATCAACGTACAAACTTTTTAAACGGCTTCAGTACGAATTTTCCCAACAGATATCTTTACGACTTTTGCTTTCAACGTACGATTTGATTCATTATCATCCAAATCGCCAAGAACCGACTTTTAGTACTGTTGTACGGCATAAAAATACGTTTCCAGACAGAAAAGAGGCTTCAGCACTTGTTCAATCATCTTATACTTTGGAGAAAAGACATCCGAGATATTTCCATAGAATTTTCATACATGGTCGAGACGACCGACAACCGGTTCCTACAACAGACCTGAGAGAATATCCTTATTATAATATTGTTCGTCTTTCAGTTGGATGTACAGGGACGCTTATTACCCCTTCTTTCGTGTTAACTGCTGCACACTGTGTACACGATGGGAAGCAATTTAAGGAAAACATAAATCTTTTAAAAGTTGAAATCTTACATCGAATCAATTACAAAATTCATTATGTGAATGAAATAATTGTTCCTAATACTTGGCTTGATGCCAGAAATGATCCACCTACTTTTCAATCCGCCTATGATTATGCAGTTATAAAATTACAAACTCCTGTTACAGGGCGAACCTCTTTCACTCCCCTGTATGTTCCTGGACCAATAATTTCTGATGAAATATATTTTCTTGGATATTCATGGTACACCTATCTACAGTTGTGGAAATCTGAATGCTCGGGTTGGGGGAGTAGAGTTTGGTACCATGGTAATATCTTAGTAAGCCACTGTGATACAGTCATCGGTAATTCGGGTGCCTCGGTATATTTAGAAGACAGGAGAACAAATCATAGAAGACTTATTGGCGTGTTGTCTAGTTCTTCTAAGACTGCAGGCAATAATGTTAGTTCACAAGTGACTCTGACTTCTCTCTTGACAGCAAACAAACTCAATGACATTTGCTCAATTATTTCGCCGGAAGGAGAAAACCATGGAGTTTGTACCCCACAGACAAATAATATAGATCCGGTATACACTAGACTTCCGTTATATGGATGAAAATAATAATTCGGTTTAATTCAGGGATTCTCAATGCAAGTTTTATATAGTTTCCTGCTAGTAATTAACGTGTTGATCTTCACCGTTCACCGTGTAAGTGTAATGTTGGGTAATGATAGGCATGAATAAATTATCCATTGGTCTGTGATGTGTTTAAATGTGTTTGTCTAAGTTTGTATGATTCTTTCAATAAAAAACTATATATTTTAATGCGAGTAAAAGGGATTGTTTGATTGAAATTCTTTAAAAAAAACAAACAAAATATTCCTTTGAAGAAAATTAGTAAGATAATTATAATTAAGCGGTAAAGGTATTGCATATAATAAATTTATCAGATAAAACCAAAAAATATGTAATGCGAACATACGAAAACAACTTCTGATCCTTTAGTTTTGCTAACCTCTCTTCTATTAAATCCAGTTTGCAACGGGGAGTTTGTCGCATTCATATTAATAATAAACATTTTTTGTTTCTAAGAGTCTACATTATTCTTTATCATACTTCTGAAAATATTAGCACATAGTGTGACGTCACCCCTGATACACCATTATAATCCCGAATTGTCTCGTTAATTTCACATAACTACAGGGTCCGATTTCTACTGATTTTTCTATCAATTTTCTTATCCGTAGACTTGTCTTTGAAAGGTGTTCACAACGCCTGGATGATTGTTTGGCAATTTCCTTCCATGTAACATTGTCACGACTTGTCGTTGGTGATTATGTTTTGTTGGTATCTGTCGTCTGCATTGGATCTTAACATCTTTGTCTCTGTTGACACTTTTTGTCCTGAAATTGCCTGAAACCTATTTATCAGTAAACGTTGGGTAAACCTTTATCAGCTGCATGTCTTTTCACATTATGAATTGTTTGGGAAGTTCCCGTATTGATGTTTTATAATGACAGGTCTGATAACATGTTTAGTTCCCCTGTACCGCATCGGTGTTCTCGTGCTCGACTCGATTACGGGAGGTCGTGGGTTGAATCTCCAGCAGTTTCAAACCAAAGACTTTATAATTGGTATTTGTTGTTTTTTTCCGCCTAACATGTGGCATAAAGGAGCAAGAGCAAAGAATGGTCGACTCGGGGTCAGGGTAATACTGCCGGGTAGGGTGACATATCTTCCTGCGGATTATTACCTCCTGAACTAGCACATTAAACATCTTAAGAAAGAATTTCCTGTTGATGTAAAAATTTAGCTGACGTTGTAATTTATTCGATGCTCCTACATGTAGGAGCGTTATCTGAATAAAAAAAATCTGTGTTTTCTTTGGACTGATAAAACGTTCCCTATGATAACATATAAGTGTTCAATGACAAATCCGGTACTAGTTTTAAATATACATCTCGTATACATGCACATTTGTAGAAAACTGTGTATACTTGCCGCGGTTGTGCTGATCTATCCATGATGTGCAGTAGGGGTCCGGGAAAGTCCTTTCCGTTGGTACAAAATGGTATGATATTAGCATAAAAGGATGTGGTATGATTGACAATGAGACAACTCTTAACCAAATACCAAAGGATATAGAAGTGATGTCTTCCTTTGGAAGTGATGGTCTGTCATACGGTTTACCGATTATTTTTTTGGCATTATTTGCATTTAAACAATACACTGTACACAGTGGAATGTTGACAGTATCCAGTATGATTGAGTTATCTGTGTAATTGCCACTTTGGAATTCTTACATGTGTGTTCGTAAAAACAAAATCTGTATGAGAAAGGCGAAAGATACCAACAGGATATTCAAACACATCAATCGAAAACAAACTGACTACCATGGCAAAAAAAAAACGAGCTGATAGAATGTTGGTACATAGAAATGGAAAATTTAAAATTGGGAAACTTAAATCATCTCTTTTGTCGTAAAGGTTTGTTCTTAACCGATCCTCATTGTTAGTTTCTAGATGTAAGTCAAGATATGAGGCAGACTTACAGCTTTTCTATAAAAGCATGCAAAGCAAACCTTTGATCGACTTACTTGCTAAAAGGGTAGGCGGAGTTTCAGTCTGTTTAATATATACTGGTATTTGATTGGCCAATAAAAAATGACATACAATGTGAAACTTAACATTTAAATGAAGTTAATGTTTATTGTCCAATCAAATTCCAGTATATAGTAAACAGACTGAAATAGACTACCTACCTGTTGTTTACAAACATCCAAACAAACATAGCAAGCAAGTTGATCAAAGGTTATCTTTGCATGCTTTTATAAAAAAAAAAGCTGTAACTGTATCTTCTGTAAGTTATTTCATATAAAATTGGTCTATGCTGTAAAGGTAGCATGTAATGAGTATATCTCCACGGCATATTCTGGTACGGATGTACCGGCATTCAAAATGGAATATCTACTAGTATTCTGCCAACTTTTCACGGCAAATGCTGGTATGCTATTTCTTGCTGTAATATCGGGAACTATATTTTTAAGTGAAAATAACACTTTATCAATTTGAAGCGTCCGAGGCAATTTCATGGGTTAATCTTCATCAGCAACGCTCTAACCCAAACATTTGTAAGCCAATGATTAAAAAATACCTGAGCACGTGAGGAGCTATATTACTAAAAGGAAACTAAGTTGGCACTCATATCACATCTTCTTATATCTAAGAAGAATACTCAAGCCCATCAAAGGTTGCCTTAAGGAATTGGAATCTTATTGTCTTGACGATATATGATGTTTTCAACAGAGAATTTTAGAAAGGTATGTTATATAAATCCTGTCAGTACCGAAGCAGGATTCTACTGAACTGATGTTACACCGGGACTAATAGCAACTATCTACCATCAGCTGCATCGACCTAGTACCAGAAAATGATAATAACACTTTAAGAATTTGGTGCGCCCTGCTTACACTGGGACTTCTGTATTCAATTTGACGAACAATTGGAAACCTTATGACCCCCGAAACAATTAACGCAGACTCGTTTCTCCTTTAAAATTATACGGAAACTTGTGTCGGTGATAACTGTGAATTCGTGTGGGTGATCCGAGTTTTGACAAAAACCTGGCCCATTATTCTTAAGTGTACCAGTGTCTTTACTATTTTCGGAACCTGTTGATTTCTATGTTTTATTTGTGATTCAGCCCTTTTACCGACTGTGACATTTGAATGAATATGGATTTGCATGACGGATGATGCATGCATAGCATGAGACTCTTACCTAGTCGACGCATCGGTCTCGTTCCTTTTGGAGTTTATCCGATTCCCTAAATTTTTGTTCTTTACCATGATGTGTATTTTCTAAATGGACTTATTAGATATTAAAAACAGCAAACTACTGTCGCCTGTTGATTCTGTTACGAACGATGCGGTCGGAATAATTTCGGTTTTGGTAGGATAGGCATAAGCGGCCTCTTGAAATACAAAATCCTTTCTTAATTGATTAGCCATATGGCAAAATCAAAGGTACTTTATTCAAATGATTTGCACTACGTGACTTTCTCCCTTTTGATCAAATTACTTCCCTTAGCTTAAGATTGAAAATATAATTTATTTTAGATTGGCGGATAATCCAGTCCTTTTCCGTCATGTATCTAAAACTAATGTATCTTTAAAAACTTCCTTTGGCGGATATTTATAAAAATGCTGTGTAATTCTAAGGGAAAATGCTTAAAATTTGACGTTTTACGAAATGGGAAGGTTGAAATCATCATGTTTCTAAAAGAATTTGGCCGAAAACTTAAGAAAGCAGGTAAGTTAAAAGTTATTCAACTTTAAAGTTCAACCTACAAGGTGTTTTACTATATGCGAACAAATCATTAACAATATCTTCTTGCATATGTATTTCTGTTTTGAATCTTGCTATTTTACGATTTTCCTTCATTTTATATGATCTTATATAGCAATTATACTATGGTTACGCTTCCGATTTTTAAACTAAAAAGGCCGAAAGATTTCAGAGTAGACAATGTCCATTTGTACACGGACAGAAGCCTAAAAACATGTACAATTCACCTATATGCGAACAAATTGTTCATTCAACATAGGTATTGGCATATTGGCATTTTTATTGAAGGGGCTTGTATAATCCTATTGTAATGGCTGCCGTCATGATAATGCAAAATGGCCGCTATGCAAATTAGCAAATTACCCCAAATTTTGCCATATGCGGAAACTGAATTATACGCCAAACATTGTCTCGAATAATGTTTTGGCAGTTTTAGTGAGACAACGTGGTATTGAAAGTCTTCCTGATATTGGTCGATCCCTTTGGAGTTCTCGATTGTCATTTTCAATTGTGTTGCCAAAACGCCCTTTAATTAAGGGTGTCGGTGCAGGCAAAATTTTTACATGAACACTTTGACGAGTTTTAGTTGTTTGCCAATTCTTTCATGTAGAATTTGTATTGCTGGGTTTGTACTAGTAACTTGCAATTGGATTTGAATGTTCTTGAAATGGGTTTGTGTGTGTTAAATCTGATGATTTAGGGTTTAAAGCTGATTGATTTTTGGACCGATTTACTTCTTTGGTGTTATTCTCAAATTTCGTGAATCATATCTTTATGTTCAACTCATATCTGACAATTACCTTAATTTCCTCGTCGATTTCTTCCTCTTTTAAATTTCCATAATCTTTTAAGAAAATTCAGACAAAGTCTTTTGTTTCTTTTTCATCAGTTCTATCCTGAATTGTAGTTCAACAAAAGGTCTTATCACTTTGACATGAAGTCAAGTTCCCATGTGCGTATGCTTTAAAATGACATAAAATTGAGAATGGAAACGGGGAATGTGTCAAAGAGACAACAACTCGACCAAAGAGCAGAAAACAGCCCAAGGCCACCAATGGGTCTTCAACACAGCGAGAAAATCCCGCACCCGGAGGCAGGTTCCAGCTGGCCCCTAAACAATAATGTATACTGTTCAGCGAAAATGAACGTTACACTAAACTTCGAAACATATGAATGAACCAAAATAAATTAAAAAAAAACATACAAGACTAACAAAGGCCAGAGGTTTCTGACTTGGGACAGGCGCAAAAATGCGGCGGAGTTAAACATGTGAGATCTCAACTCTCCCCTATACCTCTAGCCAATGTGGAACAAACAAACACACAGCAATACGCACAGTAAAACTCAGTTTAAAAGAAGTCCGAGTCCGGTGTAAGAATAGGTACCGGTAACAGAAGAAACTAAGCAAAATGACTATGCTCAACATTATTTAACAAAGGACTACTAGCAGTTACTGACATGCCATCCCCAGATCTCAATTAAACTGATTGAAAGATTATGTCTTCATCATATAAAAATCAAGCACAATCCCTCCCGTTAGAGATGTAGTATCATACCATCATAAAATATACGAGAAGAACATAATCCGTATCATGCCAACAACTGGTTTTCGAATACATGTGTTTATTTCCGATGCAAAGACCCTATGAGTGAATAAATATTAATTTCAAAAAATGCCATCTTTAATGACCTGAC